GGGGGGGGGGGGGGGGGGGGGGGGGGGGGGGGGGATCAGTAAAAAGATCGGTCGCCAATACCGACAGGGCGTGAGCTCTGTTCCTTTCGCCATGATAACATCCAATGGACATGGATCTATTCATAAATACGGAAGGGGCTCCGCGAGTAGAATGTACTGTCGAGTATTGTCGAGGCACAAAACACCCACCCACACAAGCCTCCAACAAAGCAGTCATCGCCACGGCGGTGTTCTAGCTCCGTCCGTCCGCGAAAATCCGCGAAAATCCGCGAGATCACGAAGTCGCGCTGTTGTGGAGAACTGTATGCATACTAATATCCGAGCGTGTTTTGACATCATGCGTACACATCCTCGTGAAAACAGACGGCTGTAGCTCGAAAGCAGGCGTGTACCCGGTGTTTTGCAGCAGCAAACCCCTCCTCGTTCTACGCTCTGCCTTTCTAACCGATCCCTAACCCCTCGCACGTGTAATTCTCGTCACCCGTGGTCTCTCAGGGTGGCCTCGGGAGCGCGGGGCTGGTGAGGGGTGGATTCAAGCAGAGGGACAACGGCCTTCCCAAGAATGGTGAGCCAAGTCGGCGCCTCGTTGTGGGTCCGAAAGCTTTGAAATGGTTGATACCCTTGTAGGAGAGCGGGGATAGTGGGGCGGCATTGCTTCATGTTGCTTTGCCTTGTGGTGTGATGATATAATGAGGGGTTGGCAACGATAAAATCTCTGCCTGTGATTCGTGAGGAACAAGTAGGATTGGAGGAGTTGCTTGCAGACTCCGGCGCAACTAATCACACGGCATCAAGCATGCACCACGAACGACCTCAATTCGTCACCCTCCTGGTAGTGGGAGAGTCCAGATTGAACATGATAGGACCATTCGGGTGTTTTGGATAGGGAGTTTGCCGTATCAACTCTCGCAACAGGGGCACCTACCCGGTATTCCGCTCTACTTCATTCCATGGGAACATTCCGTACTATCCAGGCATAGCTAAAAGTATATCAATCATTTCGCCTTTGGTTGGTTGATACCAGAAGTAGCTCGAGAGGGTTATTGTCAAACCTATCGTGTTGAACGCAAACTCATACTTTCGTGTGAAGGTTGATATCTCTTTGGGAGGTTGCGCGTTCAATTCCCATTGTATCGGAGATTGTTTTCCACTCATCTAACGGCGAGAGGTGGAAGGCGTCTTTCCATATGCGGATTATAGGTAGGAAAGAAACCGTTTGCACCAAGTTGCGCAGATAGGGCACGTGGGGGCTGGGGGTAGGGGAGGCAGTGCTCCCGTGCGACCCAGTTGACAAACGTCAAGACACACGATGTACGACGCGTCCGCTGAAACAGGAGGTGAACATTTTCACTGGGACAATGGGACTACGGCAGCAGTTGATCTACTATTGTACATTACACACGACCCAGAAACCTGTAGAGGCTGAAATCAAACCATTACTAATCTAATGGTTTGATTCGGCTCCTATAAAAGTCTGTCGTGGGGTTCGTAACGGTTGACTAGTCTCGTTGTTTGATTTCGGCTTCCATAAACCATAACCGCGAGGTAACGTCCCACCGGCGCTGGACCTTCGCTTGGCGTTTCGTGTTGTAAACGTTCCCCCCGATCTAGGTCTCTACTCGTACTTCGTGAAGCCCGGGCACTTCAAGACCACCTTCGCCGACAGCGATGACGACGACGACGACGAAAAGAGCGGCGGCAGCGGGGACGAGAAAGCGAAGCGAAAGGCCAAGAAGCTTAAGAAGCGGGAGAAGAAGGACGCAAAAAAGGCCAAGAAAAGGGCCAAGAAGGAGAAGGCCGCGGCGGCGGCGGCGGCAGCAGCAGCAGCAGCAGCAGCGGAGTTGTCGAGCCAAGGGGTGACGGGTGGAGGGTGCGAAGAAGGAGAGAAGAGCAAACGAAAACCCCAAGGGACGGCTGCGCCCTCCAATGGCACCGCTTCGGACGGGGAAACGCCTCGCAAGGAGAAAACCAAGCGAAAACGAGCAGGAACTTCCGTCGCTGCGATGGATGGCGAGGGTGCCAAGAAAACGAAGAAGTCGAAGAAAATGGAGGAAGCGGGCCTCGATCGAGCAGGAGACGTTAGCGACGTCCCCACGAAGAAGAAGAGAAAAAGGTCTGCCGGGGGGAATGGGGACGAGGGGACCAAGAGCGAGGCCTCAAGCGAGGAAAAGGAGAGGGGGAAAGTGGGCGAGTCCGCCGCTGCGAACGGGTCGACTTCGAGCGAAACGAGCACCACCGGCGGCGATACGGAGAAGAAGAAAAATATAAACGGAGGGAAAGCGACAGATGCAGTAGTAGAGAAGGCGGCAAACGGCACAGCCGAACCGAGCGCCAGCGGCGGCGGCGGCGGCGGCACTGAGAAGAAAAAAAAGAAACGAGGGAAAGCAAGAGAACCAGCAGCGGAGGAGGCGGCAAACGGCACCGCTAATGGAGTGTGCGGCAACGGGGTCGGGGACGACGAGGGAGTGGCGCAAGAGGGAGCTGTACCAAAAGCCAAGTCGGGGAAGATGAAGAAACCGAAGTTCGGCAAGGCCGAGGCTGTAGAGGAGGAGGCGGCGAAATCGCCGGGAAAGAGCAAGAAGAAGAAGTCGAGAGGAAGGGAGGGGGGAGACAGCGAAGCAGCTGCTGCAGAGGGCAGCGGCGAGAGCAAGGTCAAGAAGGACAAGAAATCGAAGACGAAGAAGAAGCAAGCCGCTCGCGCTGCTGCAGCATAGAAGCCGGACTCGTTTGATCGAGCCTATTACTCTCCCTTCTTCCCCTCGCTCCTCGACAAGCTTTTGCTTAGACATGGGTTGTAGCGAAGGGGGGGGTCTTTCTGGCGAGCAGGGCTAGACTCACCCTCACGGGATGACCGAAACCTTCTTGCTGCTGCGCATACGCCGCGAGGCGTGCGTGTGGTGATGGAGTTGGGTCGGCACTGATGGGGTCAGGCGGGAAAATGTAGATGCGCGGGCCTTTCTGGCCGTCGGCGTAGGCAGTGATGCCCATCTCATTTTTGTGCGCGGAGGCAGACACCATCAGAAAGGTGGACGGGCACTACACGGCCCTAGATGCTAGAGGGAGCTGTATTGCCTCAGTAACCTGGCTTCGCCATCAAAGGAGGAGGGAGCAGGTGGCGACGAGCTGAACTGGGCTGGTTGACCCCTTCGGCGCGAGAATTTTTATTTTTCAGACCAAGAACCTTGAGTGCAACGAGGGAGAAAGCGAGGAACCGACTGGGAAGGACAGCAACGAGAGCGTGTACGGACGGAGCAGGTCGAGTGGCGTTATGCTCGGGCTGACTACAGCGGCGCCGGATGGAGCAGCGGCACCGGAGCATGCGGGCGACATCGACCCGTGGCGCACGGACAAACATTTATATCTGATCTGTGTTGTCAATTTTTCTCGTTTTTTTCCTGATTTTCGGTGTTGGTTCTATGTGATGACGTCGTCACTGGTTTTGTAGAGAGACCCGTCAGAGATGGCGTGGCTAACCCGGGTGCATTGGTTTTGTGCCTGATCGTGGAAGACCCCTTCAATGTGGAACGATTCTTAGCTAGTGTCGATATTTTTCACTGCAGTGCCTAACACAGACGATCGGGAGAGATTCGGGTGATTGTCAATTGCTGCTATGACGGCTTTGGTTGGTTGTTATTTTTCACTGTACGGCCGCAGACACATTCTGACAGCACTTCAGACAGCAGCTTTGTGCCCCGCCAGCTGCTTGTTCCATGCCTACCATGGTGTTTTTGTACAGACAGCACTTCAGACAGCAGTATGCTGTAGTCGGCAATCTTCCGTTTTGGTATAGAGTGGGACAGGGAGGGGGTGATGCTACTGTAGTCGAACGGTGGGACGGACGTGCAGTTCAGTTTTTGGGCACGCATACGGTGCTGCAGGGATTTTTAGGTGTACCTCTTCGGTTTCTTGGATACCTGTTTCTCGTTATATGTGTGCGTGTTCTTTAGATCCTCAGATGGCTCTAGCACTTTCGTGACCACGGGCTGAGAGTCTTTTGCTATATTTTGGCATTTGGCAACTGACATACGGTTCAATGTGAAGACAACAACAACATGGCAGCACTAGTGTTGGCGTTTGCGGAGTGGTGGGGTGAGGAGGCCGATACGACCGATTCCCCAGCCCCCCGACCGGTGTGGTCGTTTCGCTGTGTAGTATTTACTTCCAAGTAAGCGGGATGCAGGCTTTTTGGTCTTGTTGGTGAATCCGCTCAGGCGACGTTTTGCTTCAAGTCCTGCCAATGGCGGCCGTACACATTGACCCCCTGTTGGTATTTTCTAGCGCTCTTCTCGGTCAGGAACAACCAGACGCCTCGTTCCTGTGTGTGCTTGGTCGACCCATCGAAAAAACAGTTGCGAGAATTTTCCACTCATCTCCAGCAGCGATTTACTCCGTTTGTTTGCCCACGATATGGAACGCGCTGACGGAAAGAGGTTGATGTGGGCTTTGCCCGGTAAAGGCACCGGTCGTGTGCAGCGTTCACTAGCGTGCATCCGATGTTTTTAGTAGCGCACGATTCCATACTCTACAGTACCACAGGCATTCTCCTGGCTCAAAACTATCTTTTCCAGGTTTTCTTCTCTTTGCCCTCTGTGTACTGCTGTAGGCGGAAATGCAGCCGGGAGGGAGAAACGTGCCGTCACTGGCGCGAGTCAACCGAAGAAAGTCGCAAGCACGCGCCACGTCACAAAACGCTCGAGATAACGGAATGATCCACCAAAAATATCAGCGGCAAGATGTACCTCTGCCCCGTCCCCCGCTCTGTAAACGAGAGGAAGCCCTGCACACTACTACGGTGCTCCAGTGCCCAGCATCAGTATCGAGACTCGGCCCTCTTCAGATAGGGCATGTGGAGTCCTGAGACATGTGCACACAGCGATCCCTGGAGACATCGGCGTAAAACGACCGACCCACTTGTACACAGGGCGCCGACAACTGCCACCGCTACGTCATATCCTGCATATGGATACCTTGTCCAGCATCCGTATACGCCGCCACTTTGAAACAATGTCGAAAAACCTCGTGGTGTACCAGTCGCCCCGCAGACTCTCAAGCATAAGAGAAAAACGCCCCCATGCCCTACATGCGTGCCATGGCCTAAGGCTGCCAACAAGTGCAACACATCACGAACCCCACCCTGTTGATTAACTCCTGCCCTCGAGAGGTGGCTCCGCCCTGGCGTGCCGGAAACGACCGATTCCAACAACCCAAGCATGTTGCTAGAGCCGGCTGTTCCGATGTCGGACCCCCAGCTTGTTGCGCTTCCCAACACAAGTCTTTCCTCTTTACGATCCACCGAGTCTTGTCAAACTTCAAGAACCAACGTCTATCTTTTCCGCACACAGCGTTGACCCTCTAACTTCCTTGTCTATTTGAAGCCGCCGTACACGCTGACGATGCTCTCAGGTTCAATCTTGTACGCTTGCCGCCCTCCGTAGACACCGCTGCGATCAAACCCACGCAGTTCCGGGGTTTCGCATTGAAATATTCGGTAAAGCAGCAGGCGGAAACGAGCGAGCGGGTACATTATTGGACGCAAGGGGGCGGGTGTGGCGCTGGCGCAAGACGCAGAATCAAATCCCTCGACTTGGCTTGGTTTCGCAAGGATTCTTGGTGTCGTGCAAAATGCAAACCAAGATCACGCGTCGTATGTACGTGCACCTCGGTCAACTCCTTCCGCATTCGAATATGGCAACAGCGGTATGGACAAACCGACACCCTTGACATGAGACTGTCCACGATAGGACGTGACGTTTTTTTGGCGGAGACACTGGAATACCACCGCTCTCTCATCAGTCAACTCCCGGCGGCGTTGCAAGTCTCTCAGACGTGGAAACATGACAAAAAAGAAACTTTCCACGTCGTCACGCGCACCTCTCGAGTGTGAAGGCTACGACCCCGCAGTTGACCATCTTCTTTTTCTTGGCATCGTGGACCGCGCTTTGCGGCAAAAAGCACTGCGGTGGCAACAAAAAGGAGCGATCGACAGCAGCGGGACAAGAACGGAAGGGACGTATCGATGGCTGTGGATGCGTCTCGTTGCTGGTTGTCGATCGAAACTTCCTCCGCCCGAATGGAAACACCCAACCGGGTAGGTCAATCACAAACATCCAGAGGGTCAAGATTTGCCCGCTGCTTGTTGATGCTTTACTTTGGTGATGGATGTCGTCAGCAGCTATCGCTCAACTGGAAACGGTGTGTACGTATGAATAGGGCGGTCGTCGCCTTCCACCATGGTGGTTACGCGTAGTCAAGCAGACGAAAAAATACCGACGGAGAAACACTAAAAAAGAAAAGACTAGCGGCCAAAACACCCATCCCCACGGACACAAATCAAATCTCAGTACCGTCTTGCCAGGTTCTCGCGCACGGCGAGTAGCGTACGGTAAACATGCACGAACGATCCATAATGCTCCCCCCTCCCCCCTCTTACAAAAACACACCCGGAAAAACGAGCGGAAGTAGAGGGAGTGCCCCACGCACACCACCGTGTCTTCCGGCCTCTGCGATGCCCACTCCGCGAGCGCCTTCATGCGCTTCATCCCCGTGTTGCCCAACGCCTTCGTGCCCACGTTGAACTCCGCGTCGAAGACAACGTTTCCGCCTGGCCACGTAAAAAATCGGATGTAACTCCTTCAGAAAAAAACATCAAGCGAGGGCTACAGCTTGGGTTGGGACGAAGCAGGCAAGAGGTGAGGGGTTCTGCAAAACGACACCACATCAGCAGCAGCAGCAGCAGCAGCAGCAGCAGCAGCAGCAGCCGGGCGGGTGGGGTCACGAGGTCGGGACAAATGAAGAATTCAAGGAAAACCAGCAGTAACGGTGATGAAGTCAGTAGGCTAAGTGCGTCCAAAACAACGCATGGCGCTCCACTCCAAATGAAACCCACTTGAGCACCGGTGTGGCAGACGGCATCATAGGTAGTCGCAGCCACCGACGGGAAAAGGCGAGCGTGGCGGTGGTAGGGCTACGAAAGCTTCAAAAGGTCGGTAGGCTGGCCGGCGTAGATAGCTCACCTAACTCCTTGGCGAGACCTTCATCCGGCTTTTCCCCTCGCTCCAACAGCGAGATCCCGTCGATGTTGAACGTCATCTCCTGAAATACCGCGCGAACGTATATGGCGTCATGTCGACACAAAACATATCCAGCGCTAAGGATAGGGAGAGGTGGCATCCTATACATTGTACATGGGTACAGCATACACGCACAAAAAGCGGATTCGCAAGGCAGCGCCTTCGGTGAACACACTCCGATGCCGCCGAGTGTTCTTCGGCCGGAACATTTCAAGGGGAAACACACCCACCTCCCCCCCCCCCATCTACGGAGCTCCCTCTCCGGTGGCGTCTTGCCTGCAAGGCGCTGTGGACGAAGTAGCGCTCCTCTCCGCCTCTCAAACGCTCCCAGAGCGTGATCAGCCCGGTGGCGATGGCACGCCGAAGGTTGGAAGTCACGACTACTGACGATTGCGTCGAGCCTCCCCGAAGCGTCGCCACCGCATCCGCAACCTATCTCGACAGGTTCACACAGGATATCGGCGTGTGGCGTAATTTAGCGGTAGAGAAGACATTTTTCGGCAACGTGCGTGAGGCAAGAGGGAGCACGGCGGCGGTGGAGGGGTGGACGAGAGTAGGGGGAAGAGGATTCATCTCGCATCGCTGTGGTAACTCTGGCCGATGACTACAGGCATGGCGGACAGCGAAGAAAAAAGGGCGGAAGGGCAGCTGGCGCAACCATTTGTTGTTAATCTCGAAAGGCTAGTATTTCGGTGATTGTGCCTACACTACACTTTCTGAGCATCGCGCACACCACCCAAAGCTCACTGTTGAGAGCGGCGAAGGCGCACCTGGACGTTCTAGTGCCGCGGGACTTGGCAATGCACCTAACGAGCAACCCGACGAAACCTCTACTGTGGGGAAGGCGTGCATACCGCTACCAACGCCACCGAGGGCGTTTCAACGCAGAAATTTCAAGCACTTGCGAGTGTGTCCGAAGAACTTGAAATGACTCTCTTAAACGGGTTGCAACCGCCTGCTGTTGGCCACTAGCATCGCAATCTCTTCCTTCGAAGCAAAAATGTATGGTAGGGGTGAGCGGCGGCTCCTTACCCCTGATCCCGAGAAGCTGTCGGGAGTCTTTTGCAGGAACCGAATGAGCTCCTGCGTCTGATTGTACACGCGCGAAAGCCGGGAGGGGGGAGGGAGGGATGGACGGGGAGTCTTCACTTACGAACAGCTTCTAGGTTGGGGGTTGAGTAGGGGCCCCGCAAGACCACTAGCAAGGGCACTTTTATCCCCGCATGGTATTGGCCGGAAGGGTACTGACAGGGGCACCGCAAAAAGTGCTGGAAAGCGACGAAACGCTCACAAGCTTCTCTGTCGACGCGTCACAAAATTAAAGTTTGGCACTGCCGCGGACGTCAAAAGCAACAGCGATAAGGGGAATAGGAGTGGAGACCTCGGCTAGCGCACAAAGCGCGACGGCAGCACTACTCTAGTGGCAAACGCGCAGCAAACCATCTCCACCACCAACTGCCAGCTTTCCACTCGCGGCAGGACATCTATTAGTCACAAGAACGCACCTGCTGGATGCCGGTGTTGCTTAGAGGGGAATCGAAGAATACGCTGTCGCGGGTGGACAGCATCATCACCTCCCTCACGAAAGCGCTCACCAGCCGCACCAAAAACGAAGGCCCAAATCCCCGGTTAAAAACCTTCGGATGGTACGTTTAGCAAGGCGGAGGGGATCGTCTGCTTCAGCCTCTTGGCGCTTGTCAACGCCGACATCATACGGCCACGGAGCACGGGGCACCCCGCGACGTAAGGATTGGGGGACAAAGGATGGGAAACTGCGACGTGTTTGGGACAGGGTGGGGACCGTTGGGGTAGCTAACCCAAGCGCTCTGGCCCCGTCGTGGGTAGACCGCGTTCCAAAGTTAAGAAAACCATGGATCCTTGTCATGGGATGCCCCCGACACCCGGCAAGTTTCTTCCAGCACCAGAAACAACTACAGGGGTACCCAGGCCCGGCCGCCCCAACTCCCAGCCGTCTCACACCTCGTTCCATTCAGACTCTCCATGCCTGATGAAGATTATCCTCTTCCGACGAGAGGTTGAGTCCACGCGTACCTTGCCCGAATCCACCTGAGACGCAATGTCAAGATCAACCAACAAAACCATGGAACCATGGGGGGGGGGGGGGGGGG